ACCAAAGGAGGGGACACTATGACAGGGTCCGACTCGACAGCACATAACAACAACAACAGAGATGCAGGCAATCCTGTCTTCTTATGGAAGTCTCTCAAAGCAATTAGCAAATTATCTTCCACAGATGTGGAGCTGGATAGATATTCATTGAATGAATATATATGTACAGAACTCTTCTGGATGATTCAGGGTTATCATGATAAATATAGTTTTAAAAATACATTGAAATATAACAATACCCTATAAGATTATGATTGTATAGAAAGACATTTACTTCTATGTTAAATGAGCCCTAACTGGATTATTTTTAAAGTCTTGCTATTAATTGTTGATGCTTCAGGAGGATTATGCTGTGGTATAATTTAAGGAGCTCTGGTAGCATAGTGCCTAAGACACTTGACTGCTAACCAGAAGGCTGGCGGTTCAAACCCACCAGCCACTCCTCGGAAGGAAAATGAGGCAATCTACTTCCATAGTGATACTGCCTTGGAAACCCAAGGAGGGGTCGCTATGAGTTGGGTCCGACCTGAGGGCACATAACAACAACAACAACAACACAGCATTTTTGACAAATAAGTGGCCTGCAAATATGCAGGTAATTATTGTATTACGTTCATCAGCAATATAGGGAATTTGCTTTTTAAGGAACCACTCAAAGACAGTGTTAATCATATAAAAGAATATATGCTTGCTTTATCTTCTAAGATTTAGGGCTAATCTATGCAAAAAAGACTTTCTATCTTAAGTCTTATTTATTTAAACAACAGTTGTTAAGAAAAAGAAGGCATGTTATGCTGAATTTTTCACTGCTCTGAACATACTATGTATTCATTTAAAACTGGGTCAGGAAAAGACAGTATTATTATTAGAAATACATCAAAATGTCTAACAAGGCAGTATTTCATTTTACCATCTCCATAGATATTTATCATTAAAACCTTGGTTTCAAATGTTTTGTCAGGGCAAGGGAAATTCCCTGAGGCATTACTCAAGCACTTAGGTAAAAAAAAAGGATCCTGAATTAATTAGCCAAAATAAATGTGCCCTGATTTGCATACTCATCTTGTCTAACACACTTTCAGAAAAGAAAAAAAAAAGATGCTTATTTTCAAAACAAAGACTAGAAAATGGACCTAGAATAGAGATGAGCACTATCAGCCATCACAGATAACTTATGGTACTACCGAGAAAATACGCACAATTTCTGGCAGTAATATTATAACTTGCAAAACCTATGGAGACAAAATTCATTTTAGCAAAGTTTGACTGTGTAAAGGAGTTGGGGGAGGTGCTCTAAGGCTTCTTAGAAACAGGACGTTTAC